AAACTGAGGTGTTACTTAAAACAGCGTCCCTTTCAAAAGAGATGTTAATAGGAGCTTAGCACCCAGGGAATATATTCCAACAAATGAAGGGTTATACATTCTATGCCACACATCCCATCCCCTACGGCTGGGGCGGTGAGAGACAAGAAGGTTCTTACACACACACACACACACACACACACTCTCTCTCTCTCTCACATACACACTCCTACCCTCTGATCTGTTCTGCGCAGAATAGAGGCTCACATTTAAATGAATAAGCCAAGTTAAAACTTTCTATCCTGGAACAAAGCAAAAGGAAAGCCTCTTTATGTTGCAGGGACTATAGATGCCACGGGCTGAGCCTGTCCCAAAGTTTCCCTCCACTGCTCAAAAACTAAGCCATCTTGCTGCGTTTAGCACTTCTCACCAGACCACCCACCCAGACACGGATACACAAACCACATGTGTGAGGAATGCTGTTCGGCTAGGAAATCAGTATCAGTATTTCAACCTTATTACTTGCACAGACGGCCCTTTTAGTGCGACTCATTTGTTTTATCTTTTCAATAGCTTTGATTATTTTCTTTTAATGGCCTGGATTTATCCTTTTCTACCCTTTTGAAGCTTCAGAACTCTGTGGTGGGGACTGCATGGGGTGGGAGACATGATTAAAAGGGGAAAATGAGCAAATAACTTTGTCTTTACTCACCACCTATCTCCCACTCCCTGTGGACACCTCCTGTTCCGTGCGGATTACCCAGGACCCCAGTAGTCACCCTGAATTGTTATAAAAGTGGACTCAAGGAGCCTTCTGATTCAGGTGGTAGACTATTTGTGCTGTTATTTAAGAGCCATAGGGCCCAATTATCATTATCAGAGTGTTTTTTGGTTTGTGCTGTATATTTCTCTCACTAGCTCCTAGGGACCACATTGGTTACCCTTCTTTAATTAGGGGGAAATTAAGACCAAGAGGCTAAGCTGAGAGCCAAAGGCAATTTAACAACCTCTGGAAAAAATTGGAAGCACCTCTACAGAAGGGGACCGCATAAACAGGAAGGTATGGATACTATTACCTGGCAGAGAAAGCAGAAGCTTTGAAATGTGCTCTGTGTTTTCTATTTGGGTGGTATCCCTGGCAAGGAAACCAATAAAATACCCTTAGTTGCTCCACTAATCAGAATAAAACAAGACCACTAGTTTTGGAGACTTATTTCCCTGAGTTACTAACCAGAGAGGTCTGGGGGTCAGGCTTGGTTATCTGTCATCTCTCTCCAGGTTTCCTTGCATATCAAAATGGGGCCATAAATTGAAGAGACAGGGAACAAATTATTGGGGAAAACCATGTGGTGCAGTGCACCCCTGGGTGAGTGTGCTCCAGCAGGGCCTGGTGCTGCTCTTGACCCTTTCTATACACTGGAGAAGGTATAAGGCCATTATTTTAAATAAAAATGAGTATCTATGCCACAACAAGGAAACAGATTAGTCCAATCCAAGTACGGCCATTAGAAAGTTCTACTGCCATCCCAGCCCATCTGGGACTGATGATTCCACACCTAAAATCAGTCTCGGGTTGACAAGAGACAAAGCAGTCCCCTCTAATCCCCTAAATGGCTTGTCAGCCTGAATGAAGATAAAGTCAGTTTCTCAAATTTGATGTAAATCTCTTTACTATTAAGTAAGAGCATCACACCCAATTCCTTGGTTATTTACCAAACTGAATGTATTTTATTCTCTTTGTTGTAGTTGCTCTTCTTCCTGTCTAATCAAGGTAGCAGTTCCTGCTGTGAAAGTAAATGCAGGGACTTTGTAAGATCGACTGTCTCTGGCTATAGCACATTGTTTCTGAACAAAACCCTCCAAAGAAATGGGGAAGAAAGAAAAAACATCATGCATACATAGCCCAGTTTATGCCAAGAATGCATCCCACCGCTTCTTGTTCCAATCTTTGCAGAGCTTTAAAAAATTATATATATACTGGCTTTAGGACACAGAAGATGGTTCTAGACATGAGGGACTCCTAAAATGAATGAGGCGTGGACTCTCTGCCTTCAGCTGGTTTTGGACGCATTGTCCTTTCTCTGGATGCCTCAGATCTCCCCATCTATTCTTCTTTAGAAAAAGCATCACTTTTTGAGAAAAGGCTAGGGGCTAATTTTTCCTCTATGCAAAATAAAGCCAAACTTTGGTCAAATGACTCTTAGCAAATCAGTACAATTATACATTTTAAAAACGGTGCTGCAACAGATTATATGAGTTTAAGTAAAACACCTATTTCTATCAATCTGTACTTACATTTCAACATGGATTTTAGAGAAGGGAAATACATCTTACAGTGTGCCTTGAATTCACACAAAAGCATGTACACATACACAATGTGTCTTTCAACATAACTACACATACACAGTCCATTAAAAAGATACTGACAGATTTATAAAAGGTATTGGCCTTGCACTGTTAATCTCAATAATACATTTTCACTTAATTTATTTTTGCACTGCATGGTAGCTCTGGCCACCATTAAGGATCTGTCAGCATTTCCATCATAACTCTATTTTCAGAATACTGGAGTACAAGTGCCAAAATACATATTTACAGTTTACAGACAGCGGTGGCTTTGTCTTCCTTTTAAATTGACTTCTTCAATGCATCTTTACAAGGAATATTCAGGGATGGCAGTGCCTACATAATAAAAAGCATCATATAAAACAAAAGAGGTTAAAAGATGTAGACTTCCAGCCCAAGACTAGACTAAACCATGGGAACAGACTCCTTAACATTCACTGCAGCTGTAGTAGTCTCTACATCATAGTCATAGTTTAGAGCAACAGTCCAAAGCAAGATTACTCTGATAATATATATGTGTGTGTATATATATATGTATATATAAATATAGGAGCAGTACATAGCATTAGTACACAAAAAGCTAAAGGTGGAAAGTAATAAGCATACAGCAAATTACTCCAGAGAGGATCACTTCTACAGTGACAAAAACACGAGCCACCAAACAGACACTGACTGTTTCCAACACTGGACATCCAACTCCATTAAGTAGGCAGAGTTAAAACATTTAAGAGTAAAGTCTCTCTTAAACAAGTATATTAACTACATTTGTGGAGCCTGAAGTGGTAAATGGGATGTTATACAGGCCTAAATTTTTTTTTTTTTTTTTTTTTTTTTTTTTGGTTGAAGAAACTTTTTACTGGAAGAAATCCAATATTATTGGCTGTTTCCACCAAAGGGTGAATATTCAGATTAGAGAGATTTGCCTAGCAATTTAAAATGTTTAGGACACTCTGAGATATTTTTTCCTAAAGTTTTTGTCTCCTGATCTGAAGTTTTTAGTCTTCCCTTGATACTATATGAACGCATATATAGAAATACCCATTTGTCTGTATTAAGATCGACAGAGACAGATTATGCTGAGGATCATGAAATAACTGCAAAATATTGTTGCTAACATGACTGTTACATCCAAAGACAGAAGGACCCCCAAACCCACCAACACACATCCTGCTGCAAAACCAGAGGCAAAAGCTAAGTTATAAGGGGGTATAGGGGTGGGAGTTCTGTACATATATTTTTTCCCCTGGCTAATCACTGAGGAAAAAAATTTTTTAAAGTTTATCATACTCTGGCTGGTTCAAACCATATTCACATTCACCCAATTAATTTTATTTGAAACATCTATTTATATATGTACACCAAAGAAATTAAACCCTGCCATTTTCCCTTTGTGCTTAAGAAACCAGAGCCACTGTTAGGGTACTCATGTTTCAAATATATTCTTAATAGGCTTCAAAGTTGGGTGCATATAAATGTGACAGAACTGAAGGGGTTACTTTAAGAGAGGTATTATAACTACTTGAAATTAATTCAAAGGGATCTTTTTATTTCTGTATTTAAAAAAGAGATGAGAGCAAGATTACCACTTCAAAAAAAATAATATAACTCTCACTCTTAATTTTGTGAAAAACTTATTTTGCTATCTTGATGAGTAGAAGATGGGTAAGTTTTTCTGATTTTTATCAATTTACAAACTTACATTTTAGGATATTCTGAAGAAATTAACTTTATTCCCTAATTTTCAAGTCTAAAGTTTATCATATAATGGCTGCCCTACTTATCATCCTTTTTGTTTGGTCATTTCTTATCTTACCTAGTTTCTTGGTTAGTAACTTAAGGGAAAAAATTTTACATTGGCAAATCATATTTTTTGCCCTGCAATTTAGGTACAGAAATAAAAATGGCCCAAACTACATATACACGTTTCTAGTTAAACTACACAGATATATTAAACCACATAAACCTCTGCCTTGATCAGAATATGTAAGCAGTTAGAAATTTTAAAATAGTTTTAAAATTTGCAACATTTCCATATAAACATTACCCTCCCCTTCCAACTATAAAGTTAAAAACAAAACACAACTGAAACCACACAATTCATCAATCACCTAATGTCCAAAATGACTCAAAGTTTCTCTGCACATCAAGAAGTGGACAATACAACAAATGCTTCAAGTACGGTTCATGCCAATCATCATTAAGAATCATAACATTATTGACAAAGTACACTTGTCCTCTGGGAGGATGCTTCAGAGAAATAATTTACAAGGAGCATGGCTGTATTATAATTTTTTTAAAGGAAAAATAGTTTCTTTGGATAGAAAGAAACAGTGTAAAAAATCCCCTTTTTAAAATGCAGAAATAACTCCATTATCAATCTGCATTTATATAACTGCCCAAAAGAATGGGTCTGGAAAGACCATTTTCTGTACAGACACGAGTTAATCTCTGTATGAAAAGACAGCATCTGGCATGGGAACAAACAAGGGAGATACTGGTCTATTAGCACACATAGAGACTTTCTTAAGGCTGATCCAGTGACGAACCTTTGGATCCAGAAGTATTTCTTCATTTCTCTTCTTTTCAGTTGAATTTCTAGTAAAAACTTGGAAGATGAGCTGTTCTTACTTTTCATTTCTCCACTTATGGAGAAGATGGAATAATGACACCAAAAGTACTTTGGTTTTGTTCTTTTAAAAATAATTTGCTTTCTTTTGCATGCCACAGGACAGATTTCTAGTTTCAAAACAAGGGTACAATGAGAACAAAAATATCCCCCCATCCCCAACCATCTTTCACCAATACAAGAAATCCTTCTGGAAATATTAGTAAGCGACTAAACAGGTATTGAACCACTGAATCTACAAGTTAATACATAATCTGTTATGGCAGAATAACCAAGAATTTTACCCCAAAGAAAGATTTTAATTTTTTCAAATATAAAAGTGTCTAAGAGAATCATATGTGAACAAACAAAAATCTCTGATTCCAGGTTTTTAGGATAAAGATGAGTAACACACTGGCAGCTGAAGAAAGCTGAAACTCTTACTAATAAATAGATCCAAATTTCCAAATTAAGAATTTCTACAACATTTTCTTTTAGAAAACAGGACCAGAATTCCTTTTCTTTTAAAATGATGATCCTGTGGAATGCCTTTACTTCCATATTTACCTAGTATTATAACAGTAAAACAGACACAAGAATGTTGATGACAGCTCAACAATGCTGGATTCAGGACATTTACAGGTACACTTTTGTTTAAAAGTCCTACAAGTTTATTGACTAAGGCTAGACAGCAATTCATATGATCCTATTTGGTGCATTTTCTACCATGGTCCAAGATCATTACATGGATACAGCCAAGGACTGGGCCCCAATTTTCAGGAAAAAGACCACAAAGAAGAAAATCAAGGTGGCTATTTGGTCCCCCCAGTTGATAATCTGTGTCCTGGAACTGGAAAAACAAAAGGTGGAAAATACAGACTGCAACGAGTTAAAGGACTTGGAAAAAGTTGGTGGAAAGTGGCACGGTATACAAGTAAGGTCACTGGGCTTGGGATGGCAAGGGCGCTGCATTGAAAGAGCATCCACGGGACCAAGTACTTATAATGTCTGATGGTGTCATTCCCTCAATGACTTAGAATATCTGTATGCGATAATAAATAGATCAGTTATGTAATAAGGCAGTGTGTTGAATATGCATTCGTCCTGTGGAATGAACCACCACAGAGAGATACATGATACCATACACATTCTTTGAGTTTTCTTGTGTTGTGTTAGATTTGTTTGTTTTCAAGGCTATCCAGGCTAACTCTTCCCGGGGATTTCCTTGGAGAGAAGAGTGGTCCGCTGAGGCTGGTTTGCTTTAACCTCTCCTTTATCAAGAGATGATGACTGGCTTTAAAGAAAAATAAAGCTGAAGGTTGTTTGATTTTTATTTTTTCCCTTTTGGTTGCATCATTCTGAGTGTTTTCATATAAACAACAACAACAAAAAATCACAACCAAAGAAAAAAAAAACACAATAGTTTTTGATGCATCCAGTTGTTATATCCTCAGGATGTTCCAGATGTTTCCAGGTAACTCTGTAGTTTACGGACTGTGGTTTTGTCCAGCGAGCAAAGATCAAAATCAAATGTTGTGTTTGTGATATGAAAGTGTCCAGTTTCTTCTATAAGGTTCACGATCTAGAGGAGTGAAGAAGAGAAAGTTTGGGCAATAAGCAGCAAACATCAAAAGGCAAAGAGAGAGTAATAGAGGGGCGATCAAATATGGAATGAAGTGATAAATATGCGTATTTATAGCAACAAGGTCCCATACCATGAATAGCATTAATTGTCTCAGTGAACTTGATAAGTCAAAGGTATATTAAGCCTTAGAAATTCCCAGTGAGAACTTGTCTTGCTTTTCATACCCTTTAAACTCATTCCTGCTTTCAAGTCGTGAACAGAATATTTAACTGTGAGTGAGCAGTTAGGGGGAGATAACATTTCAAGACCCCTTTAAAAATTAGTTACTGACTCAACAGACAGTGATTATACTTAAACATAAGAAAAATCCAGCCTAGAAATAACAAAACTACTTTTACTTCAGTACAAACACATACACACACACCGCTATATAAAATCATTTTCCTTTATCATTATATAATTGTTAATAATTTGGAAAACCTCATTTCTTCTTGTATTGGCTCCAACTTTCAGAAAAATGTTAAATGACAGAGGTGATGGTTACTGTTTTAGGTGGGGAGGGAGTCAGAAGAAAACCTTACTTGCTTAAACCATTAGACTCAAGGTCCTGTTACATGCATCAAGAAATTCTTAGAAGGGGTATACCCAATTGTGGTTAAAGTGTTACATTTATGTAAAAATTTATCCAACAAGATCTTATTGACACTAAAAGATCTAAAATGGACACTCATTTGTTTTATTAGTTATTAGTAATAAAACTATTTCAGCAAGTCATCCACACATATCCACATACATACAGAAGCACAAACACACAGCTATGCCCAATCATATACTTACTATATAATTAACATCGATTGAACTAAGACTATGTATTTTCTGGAATAAATTTTTAGTTTTGCCATTTTGTGCAAAAATACTATGGATCTACTGAAAATGTGTAAATTTTGGGATGGAAACAAGTAGTCTCTTCAGAGCTATTATAATTTCAAATTTATACAATGGAAATAACAAGCTGACCAGAATTTGACTCCTTCCCCCAGCCAGCTGCCCAGTAGGTAATTGACAAAGCATTTAGAATAGAGTTCTGGATTTGGTATATCAAGTTCTGATTCTGCTCACTCTTTCAATGGTATTAGAACATCATAACTTTTGAGCCTCAGTTTCCTCATCTGGAAAATGGGAGTAATGCTACCTATTCTACTTGTGGAAGTTTGGGCAGATGATCAAATAAGATATCATAAGCAAAGCTTCTTATAAATGGTAAATTGCTACCTAAGTCAGGATAACATGATTATGATTACCTTATAAACTGATCCTTAATTATCTGGGAGGTAACTAAACTGCACATGAATTATAGACCTGATGCTTTTTCCTCCCGCCCCCAATGAGTGTTAGCCATTTCATTAGCACTAAAATAAATAAGGCAAGAAAATGCAGAAACTAAAACTCAGAAAGGCCTGCTTGAATAAAAAAAAATTGTAACTAATTCTTTTAAGAAAACAGTTTTCCATGACCCAATATAGTTGTTCCCTAATTATTTAACAGCAAATAGAAAACTGGGCAATAAAAACATTCCTTCTAGAAAAAAGCTACTTAATTTTAAAGCATATAAACACTTTTGCCTACTAGAAACTTGAGCCCGGGCATTTCTCATGCATTGTGCTATCTTGCAGATCTCCAGTATTTCCATCACCAACCCCTACTTCCTCTATCAGCGTGCTGCGCCCGGCCTGCAGCCACACATGCACAATGATATAACGGGGATCTGATAAATCTAACTAAATGAGCCCCACATTTTTATGGGAGCCTATAAGAATACATCAAGGTAGATGCAGAGAAACAGCCTTAATGTAGTAGCAGTGGCAGCAGTTGGGGAGTTGGGAATTATTTGCCAAAGGGAACAGCATTAATGATTTGAATTATTAGAGCATGTGCCCACATCCTCATTTAAGTAAGGGCTCCATAAAGAAAAATAAGTGTGCATTCCTTTCCAGGAATCCTGATAGTCAGATCAGAAACAACGTTAACATGCTTTATTCCATTGATACAGGCCACAAAGCCTGAACATACCCCACGAGTGCCTGAAGAACTCCACTCTGCCTTTCTACAGGGATACCCTCTTTGCTGATGCAGTGTGGCTTGACCTTGATGTCATTACTCTGCATCATAGTACAATAATTAATGTCTGTCCAAAACAATAATAATAGTAGATAGAGTGACTGCAGATAAGAAAAACAGGCAATCGGGTACATATGGGTAGTGGAAAAGGAAGAGTGTGTAAACTGCTTAACTCACTCTTCAGATGATGGTTGTTGTGAAAACATTCATGATGGATTATTTCCTGCCACATCAGCCTTTTAAGGGGTACTACGCAGGCTGCTGGATGTCTCATTTTGTTTTACACAGGGTGAGATCCACTTGTCAGATCTGTGGCTCCCTTCCCCAGTTTGTAATTATAAAAAGGTAAATGCACTGATTTTAGTCTGATTATAGTTTCAAAAACCAGGGTTCTTTCCATATGAAGCAGCCTCTCCTCTGTGTGAGAAGTAATGAACAGACTTTACTTTAACTGCTTCTCTATGGAGTAGAGCCAGGTCTGGGATAACATAGGTCTTCCCATAGAATGGCCTCTACTATGGTCTGGAAAGCACTGACTACCACCACATAAAAATGTGTACCCTACCCTTGGTTAAGGGGTAGGCCATCAGGCTCAAATCTATAAGGGGTGCTGAGATATGACAAGTTATTTCCCAGGATGGAGAACACCATTTTCAGCAGAACACTTCTCAGGGAGACTTCTCTGGGTTCTTAGAAGGAATATTCTAATATGCCACGGATTCCCCATTCCCTGCAGACAATTCGAAAAGAATGATGGCTGGATTCTAAATTGCTAAACTAAGCAATTTAGTTTCCTCTAAGGAAACCTGGTTTCCCACAGAGTTTTCTTCTCCCAGATGTGGATGCAAATCCAGGCTTAGAATGAATTGCTGGGGATGTTAGATGTGTTCAATGTCACTTTCCAAATAAATGTGGAACATGTGGTTTAAAGATGAATCAAATTATTCATCAGTCCTAGGTAATCACTTCTCTTGATCTGACTGTGTCTACTCTATTGTATTTATACCCTTTGAAAAAGTGGCTTAGGAACACAGGCTCCTTGATCCAATGCTGTCTGTTCATTAAACTAGCTGCCGAGTGCCAGGACTGCATGCCCCCAGAGTAAAACAAAGCTATTAACCACTTTTTGTGAGCCAAATAAAATTGTCAGGCCAGATTTTTGGACAGGATGCATTTAACAGGGAAGGACCTAGATGTGATCCTGGGCCCACTAGAAATTCTGCTTCAGGTGTTCAAGACTGCACGGCAGAGAATACGTAGACTTCGTGGAATGCATTCCATGAGATGAGCAGCCCTCAAGGTGGAGAATAACATTAGTCCTCAATAGTGCTATGTTTTACAAAAGGAATTAATTAAGCAGTAAACCGTGACAGGACATGCATCATGGTATCATAATCACAAGCCTCAGCTGCATTACAAGGCAAAAGGCCAAAGACTGAGAGCTTTCAACCGGCCTGGGAATGCAATTAGGGTGAAATGCTGTGTGCCCTGGAGTGCCTTTATGCCAGGTTAAAAATTCATAGATATTACTCTCTCCCTCCAGAACACTAAAATAATCCACTTGGATGGAATTCTCCAGTAAGCCACCTTCCTTCACAATTCTTATAAGGTCAAAATAAAGGACAACATTAAATTGGGAATGCCAATGACACCCCAAGGTAAGATCTGCCCAGTAGCCTAGTATCCTTGACTCACTGGCAAGGCTTTCTTTGTGAAGATGTCCCAATCCTGTACAAACATCTGTCCCACCTCCTATGAGACTTACTATTTGGGCCCAGCTTGGGTATAAATAACTTTGTTGGACAATTGCTCCACAGTGCCTCAGAGCTGGTGTTTGGGAAGAGATGAGAAAGATCATGCAACAGCTCTGCAATTAGCATTATACCAGCCCCAAATATGTGGTAAGTGACAGGTAAAACAACGTTCAGTTCTTCAAAAGTGGCCTAAGAAGAATATTAGCGAAGTACTAGACCACCACTTATGGTAGGCCACTCAAGTCCTGCTTCCTTACCCATACTAATTAAAAAGAAACTGCAAGAAATGCAACTTATCTGCAATTAAGAATCATAGGTCTGTAGTCTTTTGTTCAAATCTAAAACTCTAGAAGGGTTAAAAAGCTTATCAGGCCAGTCAAGAAACTTGGCAAGTTTGAGATTATGTATTTAGAGATGTAAGCAAAAATGTACACAGAATATAAATGTGACCCCCAGCCACTAAATGTTTAAAAAAAACCACACACACATACACACACACACACAGCTGGGGTAGATTAAGTATTAATGTCAAGTCATTTGAAAGTAGTAAAACAAAAAAAAGAAATTCAAACAGTGAAACAATCTACATATCTGCCCTGGAATTTAGAACACACATTCTACTCTTTGGGTGTTAAAAAAAAAATTACCAATAGCTGCTGGTAATGCAACAGAGGCATACATCATCAACTAGATGAAAATGAAAAACCACCCTTCTTATCTTATTAAAACATCAAATTGTATTAATAGAAGTTTCCCCAATTTACAAGTATTCCACAGTTGAGTTCATAATAATAGAATGTATGTTGTACAAGATAAGGGAAATGAAGAAAATATTTATTTTCCTTAGAATATCATTGGCAAAGGTTACTAAATTGAATCACAAATGTTTACAACACTTAACTCAAATTCTTATCACCGTTTTCCCATGAAACCAGAAGCCTGGCCCCAAAGGTTTTTGCATTCCTACTGTCCCCTCCCTCAGCCCACATTACACCAGCCAGCTGAGGGATCACTACAATCCAGCATCACTTCCCAAATTGCCCAGATCTCATCGTCCACAGCACTAGAGGAGGGAGAATAATTGCCATAGAGCTCCAACGCAGACTTCTAGGTGGCCTCAGAAATGAGAACCCTTCCCAAATACGTCTATAGGTGGCATTCGCCAGATTCTGATAGCGTGGGGCTGCAGTGGCCTCCAGGTGCTATCACACTACTGCAGGACAAACCAAGTCTTGATGTTTCTGGAAAGGGTTGTGCTAAAAAGCATTTCTCACCTGCTGCAGAATGTGTCTTTCCCTCAGCGTCATTAACCTTCTGTGAAGCTCTACCAGTTCATCTAGGTATGCCTGAAAGAGAAGAATGTCCCCCAAAAGGACAAGCACTTTAAGAAGTAGTTCAAAAATAAATGAATATGTAAGTAAAAACACACAAGCAGCAGCAGTTGGAGGTTCTCATTATACCACTCCAGTCCAGGCTGTGTGCACTTAGTGCCCAAAGGCCTCTGCAGACCAAGCCTGTCTCAGACCAGCCATTACCTTTATCATGCCAACTTTAAAAAGGGAGTTGGAGGGAATTCTTAGACTTAATTGCTCTTATGAAGATTCAAGTCAGTAGACTCACTTTCCTCCAACAATATCTCTACAAAAGGTAGGGAAATTCAATGCTAAATTGTGAGTTTAAACATGTTAACAAAGGCTACTTTCATACTTTTTTTTTCCATTCTTGAATCTCAGAAGGTTTCTAAGAGAAAAAAATTTCTAAGTTTGAATATGGAAACAACAATGTACATTACCAATTAAGTCAGGGCAATTTTGTGGGGGTTTTCCTGTTCGTTTGTTTTTGTTTTAAAAAGGCTTCCTGGTCATACCAAACATTGCAGTAAGCAATGCCAGCAAGTGACAGAAGAACAGAAGAATGTATTATGAAAAACAGGGATCACTAATTATCATCTGATTTGTGAAGAGCTCCCCTGAAAGGGGAGAGGGGGTACCTCTCTTTCCATATGCTCAGACTCACGAGTCTTTGTTAGCATAATTGCACGGGTGCCCCCAGCACCATTTGCAATAAAGGCAAATGAAAGATTTGTGAAGCATTACAGAGGTCTGCCCTGGCCCTGCAAAGCAGGGTTAGGGCCCTGCCCAAATCAGGTAACTTAACCCCATTAGGTCTTGTAGTCAGATTTCAGAAGCATGATGCACACTCTGGGAAAACAAACTGCACTAGCGTCAGATGTCTTGCTCATCTACATCTGAGATTCCTTAACCGGCTACCTCTACCACAATTCTCTTACTTCCCAATTCAATGTGCCTGAAATCCCTTGGCAATGTAGGCAACACGGCATATGACAGCATAAGGCCAAGCTTAATACTGAAGATATAAACAACACATGGAAAACATACTACAAAGCACTGGGACGAAATACTCATCATTTGGGCATCTTGGGCACTTTGATAAAGAAAATGAAAGGAGAACCAGCAAGGATGATCAAGGGGAACACAAAGAAACGGAAGGCTTGTCAGTGTTGGAGCTCTGCTAGTAACAGACTGGAAACCTACCTTGTCACATTCACCATTCTTTATTTGCTTATCTGATTTGCTTTGCTTTATTGGACTTTTGACTTCAAGAATCTAGGGATCAAAGAGAACACTGTGTTAAATTTTATTTCAAACATCTCTTAGCTAACCAGCCACATTAAACAAAGGCACTCACTGAATGAAATGTACAGTAACATTGACTTTCCAAAGAGCATTTCTTTTCTATACATTTTTCTTCTTCTCTCTAATCTTATTTTCCTTGGAAAATAAATTACTTAGATCTGAAATGCTGAGTCAGAGGAGTAGAACTAAAAAAAACAGTTGATGATAAGGAAATTGATCTAAGCTTCCAAGGCTGCTTCTCTTTTGCGACAACACTCTCACCATATGTATAGCAGCTGAGTTATGCTGAGATTATAGTTCCCTCTGGCAAGAATTTTTTTCCTATTCATTCTGCTGTTTCAGCATGACTACTAGTGCTCAGTATGCTAGGGATGACAAAAACAAATACTCAAATGCCCTTTTTAGTACCTAACTTTCACATTCTAAAATTACTCATGTGCACAAAACTGATGCAGCTTTGGAAATGAAGATGGCCATGAGTTATACTAGTTGCTCCCAATTTGGGATCCTCCAACTCAAGAAATAAAGAGATAGGACTATCTTCTGTGTTTTAAGAAACGATATGTTTACCCTTGGTAAAACGCCAAGTGCTTTCCCTTTTATCTGGACTGATTACAACTTAAGTTATGAATAGTTTTACGTACTGTACAGAAGCTTTGGTGGGAAGCTATGTTTCTACTTAATAAAAAGGAGAAGCAAATTATTATTTAATAAATGCAGCTGATTTCTTTGACAGCATCTTCAAAACTGAGGATTAAAAGGGAAGTATTTTTAAATGGCCCTCACTTGTAAAAGCTTGAAACCACTAAATTTATAAATGATGAGTGCTTACAAATGTGTATAAACACAAAAAGCAAAGTAATTTGTATTTTTCATTATAACTCATTATGAAGTGAGTTGTTATAATTGGAGACTAATATTAGAGGAGGAAAATGCCAAATAAAGGACCTACTTTATCTTAAGAAGTTTTATATTCCTACTGTTCTCTTTACCCATTCTCTGCCCTAACTTAGTAACAGTTCTGTCCACAAGTTTACTACATTCCATAACATAAAGATTTTAAGAATAAGTCCACTTTTAATCTGTAACGGTAAGAGCACTGATTAGGCTCAGAAGCCCAAGTTCAAGTCTCAGCCTTATCATTTAATATTTTCGGACTGCAAAGGATGAAATGGGAGAAATGAACAAGATAACACCCAGATTCCCATTCAGTTTTAACATTTTATACTACTAATAAACATTTTATTGGATGAGGATAGGAACATGACATCCTGGAAAAGACCAAATACTCCTGAAAGGGCAAATTTTTATTTTAATTGAGAATAATGCATGGGTAAAAAGTGTCTTTCTAACAGTCTTTCCTGAGAATCATGCTTTTTTCATCATTTTTACTATGAAGATAACCAAAAGACTAATTTGACCAGGCTAACTTAAAATACAATACTTTTGGCAACACAGGGAAATTACTTATTAGCAGAGGCAAGGCAATCATTTTTAACATGCTCCACTGTAAAGGAAACCAAATTCTCCACTACATTCAGAATGTCCTCCTCCATTGTTGTTGGAAGTGAGACCTCAAGGGAAAAATCAGCGCTGAGACCTAAGAGTAAGTAGGTCAGTAGATGGCACTCCTCGCCAACTCAGATACTGGGCTGGGCATGCAGAGACAATCCGCTGAGATTTCAGGCAAGAAAGAAAAAAAAAAGTCCCTGCCTGCTTGCCTTGTGCATTACAGAACTGAATTTTGTTCCCATCATATCCCGCTGCCTCCCACGATCCCCTCCTCCAACTCCTGTACTCTGGGTGTTGAAGTGACTTGAGGACGCTGTATTTGCAATAGAACTTTGCTAACTAGGTTTAGAGAGTTCTGCCACCTTTTCTTCAAAGCAGAAAATAGAACATTTGGACGCTTAAGTCCCACCCCGCACATTCCGTAAGTGCTACAGCACAGAAGGCCAAAATACATTGAAATCCTAGTTTCTTTCTTCTGAAGCTGCAGTGGCAGGAACAAAAGCTCTGGGTGTCAGTGACCCGCCTCAAGTTACTGAGTGGCTGCCCAGAGAGGGCTCAGTTAATCTTCCTTCTTTGATCTCTCCCTGCTCCAAAATAAACAGCTTTGTCAAAACCTCATTCTGAGAGAGCTGAGCCCTGCTGAAGACAATTGTTTTATTTATGATCATTTCTTATCTTTAGGGAAACAACTCCAGAATAAAAAAGTACAACACCTTGTCTTCCACAGGCTTATTTTAAACCAGTTTAACTGGATAGACTCTTTTTAATTTCATTCAACATGCCTTGCAGGCTGATAGGTGATTTATGATATTCTGAATATTAACTCGGGTCCAATGGATCACTTCCTTCCTTCAAGTCCTTTCTCCCCTCCTTCCCTGCCAAGCTTTTGGCTAAAAAAGATGTGGTATTTTGTTTTTGTTTGAACTTCACATAAGGGAGGTTTGGAGTGAAAAAACCATCTCTGGTTGAAATGATGCAACGCTCTTTATTATTCCCTATTAAACTGTACTGAGAGAAGCAGAGCCACCCAGACTGCCTAGCTACTCCATTTATAGATACAGCGGTCTCTGAAAATAGAAGAATTGTGGTTTAGTAGCACTTTTGTCTTTAATCTGAGAAAATGTCTTGACAAACTTTCAAGATTATATTTTTCTGTAACCCTTTATGAAGAATGACAACTCAGTTATTCACAGATGGATTCTCTACTGATAGATCTTTCATGCTAATGACAGTAGCTCCCAACAATACTCAGGTTAATTACTTGCTTGGTTGACGTGCGACTCTATGTTCACTTTTATTCAGTATGAAAATGTTTGACTCCATTAGTACTTCCCCTCTTCTCTAGTCCTGGAAGATTTGAGAAAAGGCAATGGACAATTCAGCTTTGCCTGGTACTTTACCAAACTCAGAGATCATTATCAATTCATAGAGACAGAACAGGAGAGGCGTATGGAAGAAGGAAACTCAGAGTGTTCCCATTTTGGAGTTAGTCCTTCCAAGTATGTTCTCAACTCTTTATTTATTGTGAAAATTCAGATTCATACTCTTTCTCTATCCCTGTCTCTCTCCACCTACTTTTCTCCCTCCCTCCTGCACACATACACACACATTCAAATACGACTAAAAAGTCATTCCAGAGTGAAATTTAGTTGACTTCTAGATTTTAAAGAAATTTTTACTCTCTTACATCATCAACTTAGAGAATTAAGATATACTAGTAATTTTTTTTAAGTCTCAGAAGCTTGACTTAAAAGAGATAGCATCACACCTGACCCCAGTGCAAGTGATTTGAGGGGCTAGGAAATCAATACTAAACAAGGTTTAAGAAACCGTTTCTTGTCTTCTTGGCTCCAAGACATAGCTCTAAGGAGGTAAGCCTTCCCATGGTATATATATTTCCTAACCCAGACTAGCTAAAAGTGGAAGCATATGAACTTTCTTACCATGCTTACAGGTGCATGGAGAAAGTGACACATAATAGAGTATTACTGGCAGACTGATGATTCATATGTGTGAAGCGACATTTGCCAAATAAACACGCCAAGGAACCAGAGGTATGCTACTTAATCAGGTAAGGTAACTTTTACCCTCTCCAGATAGATGACACTATTTGTTTTTGGTTTTGTTTTGCTAGACAGGTAAAAAACAGTCTGACAAAGAGTCTAAACCTTTCCCTAAAGCCAAGGTCAGTTCAAGACTGCCCATTCAGGAAGGGCTTAAGGGAAGCCATAAGGTTTGAAGGGCATGAAAGGGGCTTGTTGGAGCTGCATTCCCTAGCAAGCCCACTTTTCACTATGATTAGGAGAGATACTGAAGGAGATTAGTGAGGGGCACAAAAGCAGAGTCTAATTCCCTACACTCCTGGCCCTGCCACTGCTGTGCCCATGACGTATTGTAGCTCTCATACACCACCCACTGGATACAGAAATCAAGCTGAAATAGGCTTAAGTTGGACATAAAAATATCATTGGCCGGGAGCACTGGCTCACACCTGTAATTCCAGCACTTTGGGAGGCCAAGGTGAGTGGATGATGAAGTCAAGAGATTGAGATCATCCTGGCCAACATGGTGAAACCCTGTCTCTAATAAAAGTACAAAAATTAGCTGGGCGTGGTGGCATGCGCCTGTAGTCCCAGCTACTTGCGGGACTGAGGCAGGAGAATTGCTTGAACCAAGGAGGCGGAGGTTGCAGTGAGCCAAGATTGTGCCATTGCACTCCAGCCTGGGCGACAAGAGCAAAACTCCATCTCAAATTTAAAAAAAAAAAAAAAAAAAAAAAAATTCTCACCAAGGTTCAAATTCTATCCTAATGCTAGTTCTCACTGAAGCACAAATTTACAAAAGGATCCCAAATTATCTATTTAACCAGTCCAGTGTTCTCAGCTGATTGGCCATGATGTATATGTCTTTCCTCTTTTTACTTTCCTCTGAAATGCTTGACTTGTGGTGGCAGGCATCCACACCAGAGGTAAAAGTTGCCCGGGCCATGAGCACAGCTGGCCCTGAAGATAGGGAAGAGCCAGGATATGGAAAAAGAAGTAAATAACTCATTGAATACCCCATCTATAAGAGATAATGAGGCTGGACTTTGATTTTTATGTAGGACACAAAGAAATTGCAGTTGAACTGTAACTGGTAAAATAAAGAGTACTGGTATCATTCCTACTTAACAAGAATGGATTTGCATTATAGACAAACCTTATAAACGAGGAATTTTAAACTACAAGAGATCTTTGCCAGTGCTTTAAATAAAATGCAAAAAGAAAGAGTCTTCAGCTATAAACTAACATTTTCCAAGTAACACAAAGACCACAAATTTAAGGGCAAGACTATCTAAAATTGAAGGACACCTGTGAAACAGAGTATTTTCAGAAAAACACAGTTGTTTAGTTTTCAAGTTAATATTCATAGAGTAACTTGAATTAAGCAGTTATTGTAGAGGTCATAGGAAATCTGTTGACACTAAAAGATAAGAAAAACTTATGATAATGAGAGTATCAATTCAATGCTCAATGAGGCTTTTACATTATTCATGATACTGAAAATAGTTTATTTTAGTTGGTAAAGAAAATATCCCAATTTAATTTATTTAACAAATGCTCTTTATCATAGCCTTCAAAGTTCTGCCTAGATCTTATCCAAATAGTTGTATTTTGAGTTCACTATCAAATTAATAAGCTTTCCTTTAGCTCAAGTTGTAACAATGATAATGACCATTATTTTCTCAGCATTTTATTAATTATTCCTTAAAATCCAAGTAATAATCCTTTTATCTTGGACGAGAAAACTGAGGCAAAACACCTATAATAATAAACTACCATCAATGAGTGCCAAGTAGGGGCTGTGCACTGCCTTTTGTTCTTTATATATATTATCTGTCATCTTCCCAATAACCTAAAAGGTAGTGTTAATGTCATTTACAGATAATGAAACTGAGAATCAAAAGCTAAAAGTTAATTTCCCACCAGTAAATTACCAGTGGTAAAGAACCAGGCTTTATAGTAGCCCCAAAGGTCATATTCTTCGTAATTAAGGCACCTACTTACTGCTGAGGTGTAAAGTATATAGAAATCAGGAGTAAATGGTAAATTGGCAATACTTTTTGTCACCCTCTCTTATTGTACCAACTTAATTAACCCATCGGATGGAACATATTCATCTTCTCATGACAACAGAACCTCTTTTACCCTAACTATGTGTTTATTCCAAAGGCTGTGGCCTCCCATCTATTTGGCAACAAGAGGAAGTTTGTTTAAAATTCAGGGATGAAAGTTTTGCATGCTTTGTAAAAATGATTACACCTAGCTCTGCAGAGTCTTGCAAAGTGCAAACCCCACAATTTACCTGGTTGTTGTTGGTTTTTAATAAGGGTGGCGGAGGTTCATGATGTAGAGGTGAAGAAGCAGAACTGCTTTCACTATCGCTGCCATCACTTAAGCTAACTCTGAAAAGAAAGAGACAAGTTATGAATATCATTACAAACAGATGATTCTTGAAATACCCATAGAAATAGGCGTGGAAAGCACAGAATCCAAACACTAACCCTTGACAAGTTCATTTTAACTCACAGCCACTAACATGTATTGGTACTTACTTTGTAACTGGAACTGTGTTAAGTGCTTTACCTGCCATTTCTCTTTTCATGATCTCCTGTTTCACAGATGAGTAAACTGAGACTTAGAAAGACTGGGTCACTCATCTAGGGTAACATAGGTAAAAATGGTGGCTCTGGAATTCAAATACAAGCAATGTGGCCCAAAGCTAGTGCTCAGTTATTATACTTTACTGGGGTCATTTATTCATTCATCTCCCTTCTCCTGCTCTACGCACCTACTATGATCAAGCATGCTACTCAAGCTTACAGAAGGTCAGCAAAATTAAGACAGTGTGTAGATTACTACCTTTATTTTCCTTTCCTCCTCTCTGTTACAGATGAAAAAGTTACAAACGTGTCTAGAATACACGCTGCAGGGGAAGAAGCAACTACATAAATGAAACTTCATAAAGAATGTGGAAAACAGCCCTGTACCACTGACAGCACAGAGTGACATCTAAGGATTGAACATGTGGAGCCCGGCATGCTAGAACCACTACCAATCATTTCTACTGTGTCATTATTCAAGGCTGTCTCCAGTTCTCAACACTGATACAACAATTCATTGGAAATATGCTACAACAACACAAAGAAATGGTATGTTTGGAATAACTGCTTTGGAAAACTACAATGATATCTTTTAAAAATTAAACAAGTAAAGACAATACACACCACCTCCTCCCCATTTTTTCTTTTCAGAAGAAAATGGAATTTTCTTTTATCCACAACAGGAGAGATTTCTTTATTCTACCGTGCTGAATGTAGTCCTCCCTCAGAGATGTCCTCTTTCAGTGTTTGTTCCCCATCTCTCTGGTTATATAGCACCTAATGTAATATGCTTCTCAGAAACAGAAACTGTTTTAGAAATCAGGATAGTTTTTCTTTCACTCTGAATAGGCAATCACATTCTAGCTCTATAATGTATTCAGACAGACAAGATACAAGATAGGAAATGAAAAGGATACACTGGGACATCCTTTTAGCAAAAACTGATAGAACTTGTTTTTCTTAACTAAATTACATTAATGAAGTGTTCAGTTGAAGCGCTGTTTTAAAATGCTTCTTGAGTGAAGTGGAAGGCTGAGTATTTAAACTGATTAAACAGTTGAGACTTCACAAGTGCAGTGAAGATCAAATGTTACACTGGCGCTGCCATGCTAACACAGCACATGTCAGGGAGGGAACAAGAAAAGCAGCCGCCACAATGTATATCTATATCAGATGACTCACAAGCCTATACGATGACCACATGGACTCAGGGGTTGAAGCAATAAGTAGGTGGGCAGCAACTAATCACAGAATATCCAGATCTTCTAAATAACAACTTGGGAAATCATCTAAATAAGTCAGGCAGTTTTCATCAACTAAATTTGAGAGCAGCCAGTGGTCAGGATTTTGGTTGTTATAAGTAAGCTACTTTAAGTTTCAGTCATTTTGAGGTCTTTTTTCCTCTACTAGTTTCCTTTTTATCCGACAAAAGACTTCTAAAGGGAAATGTTATAAGGCCATGGTCATATTAAAGAGGTTATATTCTCCTATTTAAAAGGAATGCTGACAGGTAAGTCTGAGAGACAAGGAGAGAAACAGGGGTTGAATACGACCATAAAAAACAGTCACTGAGATATCTGATGGGGCACACACCCTAAGGAGGCTCTTCTCAGAGGATAAAGCATTGGCAATTAGGAATCATTCTCTCTAGCTTGGGTTAAGACTGCATTTTTTTTTTTTTTTTTTTTTGAATCTTAGGGTCTTCTACATAGTAATGGATAACAGGGAAAGATTTAATGCAATATATTATAAATGTAATTGGATTTTAAGTAGATTGTATTTTTTCCACTCAAGACAAATTAAAGTAAGCATGCCTATTTGTTTTCCTCATGATAAAGAAATAAAATCCTCAGGGCAATTTCAAGTTGACTATTAATTATAAGTCACATGAATTACCATCTTATAACACAGAATTATGCCTCACAGCATTAAAGCTACTTAAGGCACCTAATTGTCAGCACACTTAAAAGGAATTTATTTTTTGGAAAACACATAGGTGATCCTAGTTTTAATTAGGTCACACACATAATTCGCTAGAGCCAATTATGTATTTCTAACTACCATCAGCAAACACATTTCTTTAAATTCTGAGAATATCTCCAGCAGTCGATCGACACAAACTCTTTAAATGAAAACAGACTTTAGTTCAACAGTCAGTCATGCCACTTGGCATACATTTCCAAGGACAAGGACATCTAATGTGACTTTTTCCTATAAAATTTTTAGAGGAAAAGTCTCTTTCTGAGAAAAAGGAGAAATAGTTCCCTGTAAAGCAGGTGTAGGCATGCCAAGGAGACCCTGCATCAAATGAATGTGACCATCTACTACCGTTTTTGGTGTTTCACACCTTTGCTGTGATCATCCCAGCAGGGCTTGCGAAAGAGTCTGACTTCATCACAGGCAAACCCTTTCCTTCCAAGACACTCACCTGCGACTTCGGCTGCCTCCTCTATTTACAGGTCTCTCCATTTCAGAGTCATTGTCGTTATCCTCCACTTCATCTGATTCCTCCTCATTGTCATCGGAATGCAGATCTTTCATTATAGACCTCAAAGGACCTGAGTAGTGACAACGAACCACAGACAATCAAACATATACTCAAACACACTTAGTCATATTAGAAACAGGGGGATGCTTACCAGCACTGAAGACTTGTTAAAAATAATCATCACATATATTTATACAATTTACAAGGCAAATTTGGTATAGTTTCTAAAATGCAATCTCTGCCAAAACACTATTGTTTTCATAAGATTCCCAAAATGTTCATTAAAGAAACTCTATTTTCTAGGAATTTTTTTTCTGTGTATTTTTCTTCCCTAAGAAAAATTACACATAAAAAGAAAAAGAAAAATCTATTAGTAAATTGAATGTTTTGTTAGGTTAATCCATGTATTGAAAAGTTGAGATTAATAAATCACTGTGGTTGTAACTTGTTCTTGGCAATGTAGCCTTTGTGTGGTAGTTTTTGATCTATTAAGGTTTAGCTGTTCCTTTTATTTCAAGGTCAATTTCAGGTCAAGCAAGCATTTCAGTCAAGTTCAGATTATAAAGTATTTCAATTCCATGGTGTAATATCCTACCTCTGATCTTCATATTGATCTTGGACACAAGGTCTTGTCGCAGCAATTTTAAGCAGCCAATTTTCATTTTACTTTTTAAGAAATTACTGGCACAATACCCGCAAGTATAAACATAAATAAGACCATGTAATAAATCAGGTACACAGAAAAATCAGGACAGTATCCAGCATCAGACAGGAAAAAGAAAAAAACCAAACTCTAATTTTATTCTAGAACAGGACAGAAATGAAAACACACACACACAAACACAAACTGGTGTGGCTTATTTTCACTTTACTAGGCTAAATGTGACCAAAAAATAGGTAGTTTTAATCTTAACAGAAGAGGTTATAAAGACAATGAAGAAAGAGAGACACTTTCATTCTGGAATAGGCAATTCCTAAAGTCTCATCTATGACAGGGATATCTAAGCTATTACTATCTTGACTCCCTACCATCTCACACTCTGCAAAACCCAAATTTTTCTGCTTTTGTAGTGGGCTTATTTCTTTGGAAGTCAGTGAAACGAAACCTCTGAATAGCCAAAATGATTACTGTCTTTTATTTTATTTTTTTCCTGGAAGCTTAGCCTTAGTCCAAACACATACAACAATTTAATCCTTTTCAAAACATTCAAGGCCATCAGGAATTCAGTGTGGTCAATGAAAAAGGTAATGTTCAATACTATGCTAAAACACAAATTCTACTTTGATACCTATGCATTTTTCATGTAAAAAACAGTGTACATTTGAAGATTTTCCACATATACAAAAATGGAAAATTAGTTAAATATTCTAGTTTAAATGTCTTTGTTCTGAATTTAACACTTGATCATGAGTAAAGAAAAATATATATTTAAAAGACAGCCAATTAGTATTGCTTTAAAAAAAGACTATTAACACGTAGGAAAAAAATATGTCCAGGAGGAAAAATGAAAACCTATTTCCCTATGTCAAAGCCTCTTAAAGCTTTTGCTATTGTATTTCCTTTGGGAACTCCCTGGGATGGGCTGTGTCTATAATCCTTTTGTAGCAATGAGAATCTGATGGCAGGGACTGGAAAAAGGGGAATTTCTAGAGTCTTGCCTTGCACATCAGAACAATACTCAACTGCATTCCTAAGGGAAATAAATACAACTGCATAAAAGCCTAGTTATAATTCAAATAATAAAACAGTATAAGATAGGTGATAAATCAACGCATTAAGATGTTTTGTTTTGCTTTTTCTTTTTTTTTGAGACAGAGTCTCGCTGTGTCGTCCAGGCTGGAGTGCAGTGGCGCAATCTTGGCTCACTGCAACTTCTGCCTCCCAGGTCCAAGGGATTCTCCTGCCTCAGCCCCCCGAGTAGCTGGGACTACAGGTGCGTGCCACCACGCCTGGCTAATTTTTTGTATTTTTAGTAGAGACAGGGTTTCACCATGTTAGCCAGGATGGTCTTGACCTTCTGACCTCGTGATCCACCCGCGTCGACCTCCCAAAGTGCCATTAAGATGTTTTATGAGAAAAGCGTCTCCTAGTTTGCAGGAGATGTTGATACCTTGTTGCCTGGTCTGGGATGGTGTGAAGCTGGAGCTGGAGCTGGAGCTGGAGCTGGCAGGACTGGGTTGTTCAGACTTTAAAGAAGAATAAAAAGGCACCATCAATAAATTTATGGGATACCACACATCTAAAGTTGAAAACAGTATTGTTGCTCAAACCATCCTCTGCAAAAACCGTGATGCATTTCATTATGTAAATTACTAACACAGGAGAGTCATGTTGTCTTTTGTTGTGCCTACCTTATTTTTATTGGATGCAGAAAAAAGTATAAAAACTCAAGAATGAAGAGATAAACACCTGGGTGTAACATGAGAAAAGGGCCTGGCTTTGATTTCACTCCTATGTTTACTGCTATACAGGTCTCCTTTTCATCTTAGATATAAAATACTTCTTTATTATACTTTAAGTTTTGGGATACATGGGCAGAATGAGCAAGTTTGTTACATAGGTATACATGTGCCATGGTGGTTTACTGCACCCATTAACCCAACATCTATGTTAGGTATTCCTCCTAATGCTATCCCTCCCCTAGCCCCTGAACCCCGACAGGCCCTGGTGTGTGTGGTTCCCCTCCCTGTGTCCATGTGTTCTCATTGTTCAACTCCCACTTATGAGAACATGTGGTGTTTGGTTTTCTGTTCTTGTGATAGTTTGCTGAGAATGATGGTTTCCACCTTCATTCATGTCCCTGCAAAGCACATGAACTCATCCTTTTGATGGCTGCATGGTATTCTATGTTGTATATGTCCCACATGTTCTTTATCCAGTCTATCACTGATAGGCATCTGGGTTGGTTCCAAGTCTTTGCTATTGTGAATAGTGCCGCAATAAACACAAATGTGCATGTGTCTTTATAGTAGAATGATTTATAATCCTTTGGGTATATACCCCATAATGTGATTACTGGGTCAAATCGTATTTCTGGTTCTAGATCCTTGAGGAATCACCACACTGTCTTCTACAATGGTTGAACTAATTTACACTCCCACCAACAATGCAAAAGCATTCCTATTTCTCCACATCCTCTCCAGCATCTGTTGTTTCCTAACTTTTTAATGACTGCCATTCTAACTGGCTTGAGAGGGTATCTCATTGTGGTTTTGATTTGCATTTCAAAAGAAGACATTCATGTGGCAAACAAACATATGAAAAAAAGCTCATCATCACTGGTCATTAGAGAAATACAGGTCTCTTTCTAAGAGATACCTTGATTACCCTTTCTGTAATGTTTGATTGACTCAACTGGTTAAAACATAGTGGTAATGAGGCTAAGGTCATTAGTTCAATCACATTATGAGCCAGTTAATTTAACTGCGGCCCTAGGCCATGACCCAACCCTAACCCTTTTCATCCACAGTTTGCAAATGGAGGCCAATATTCACAAATGACAGGTCCAAATGAGTCAAGGGAAAATGTTGCCATTCTTCTTTTTTGTAAATTCTCTTTAATTCCACAACCTGTTAGCGGCAAGGAAAGAGTGTCATACACACACCTCAATCTCTTGCTCTCTATGAATTCTCCTTATCCTTTTGTAACCAGAAAGTTCCACATCATCCAACTCAGTTCTCTTCCTTCTCCAAAACCACTGAAATATAGTAGAAGTATCATGTTTTCTTGTTAGAGGTATGACAGTATTGCACTGCCTCTGATGTGTCTTTGCTCCCAGATAGTCTGTAGACTGCCAGCACTTGAAAAATTAGGGATCTGTCTTGTGCTTCTTGTAATCCTCTTGTACTAGCATAATGCATTGCATACAAGAGGCACTTTTTATCGGTGACTAAAGACAGCACATTAGGCCCTGTGTTCCACCGTCTGCCACAGTTTTATTGAAAGACTTCATGGCAGCTAAAGACAGGCAAAACAGACACATGGACGTAAGTGTGTAAAGATACTGATCATACCAACAAACTTGAATTTTACATATTTAAGGCTAAATTTATTTCAAAATAACTTAGTAATGTTCTTACAACCAAATTTATTTCCATCCTAATTTTAATATGCTCATAGTCTTAACTATGTATTTGAGAATATTTGCGGTTTCCTGCGTATAGAAAAAATCTTTTTACTCCAAGGTGACCAAATTCGAGGACAAACTAAGAGCACAACCAGAAATCACTAAATGAGGATGAGAATCTCAGTTTATATTTGTTTCTCACCACTGCTTTTCTCATCTACCCTTCCAGCACTGAATTCTCACCCCCTTCTCCCAAGGTAGCACCAAGCTCTACCAACTTGGACACAAGGAAACACTTTCAGACATTCCTAATGCACAATTCACATCCTCAGGCTTGATGGGAAAGCAGGTGTCAGCAATCTACCATTCATTCTGCAGGAAAAGAGCCAGACAGGATCTCTAATGAGCAGCAGGCGGCCTACCAACCCTTTAGCACTGTAAGATTGACTTGAGGATTGTAGCACAATGTCTTATACATTGCTTTGTGGGTCACAAAGAAAAGTTGGTTTACAAGTACAAATGCTCTGTGAGGTACTCTTCATTTCTGTCGAGTGGCTCTTCTACTGTTGAGCCCCAATGGCGAGTTACACAACTGAAAGAGCATTCAGTTGGCATTTATGTGCACTGCCCAGCTGCAAAACATTTCTCCCAGGGCTTGCAGAGTACTCCTCTTCCTCTCCAAGTTGCTCTTTTCAGCCATGAAAAGTGCCTGCAAATGATATTATTTTGATAGCTCTGGAAACCATCTGGGAGCCGAAAAAGAGGTTTCCTTACAGTGAGCTGAGAGAGCTCTAATTCCTCATCCTGCCTGGCCAGTTCACATTGTATTGGACTTAAAGGAGCCACTCTGCCAGAGCTATTGCTGAGAATGACATTAGCTAGGATGACAAGAGAAGATGGTGGCCATCTCTCCAACTACCTCACATGAAACATGACTCATCTGTCTCAAGCATCATGTCAATTCCAGAAACAAACCAGGAGGCAGACTTCTTTCAGCTTCTTACCCATAAATAAGGTTAATAATTCCACAGTTGCTGATCACCAAAAAACCCACAAATAGGAACATAACACAACAGGAAAAAGGGCTTTTTATTCATCATTTATGATTAAGACCTTGCCTCTGCCACAAAGTATTTGAGAAATTTTACAAAAAAAGACATTAATTCTACAAGGACATTAAAGTAGAAAGTTTAAAGCAAAAGAGCTGGATAAAAAAGGATAAAATGCTGAAGAGTGGGTAACAAAGCGATGTCCTGAAAGCTTTTAGTAGTCAGGACAGAACAAGCATTTGTGGAAGATAAGACCTTTAAAATTATCTAAGGCAGTGAATCTCACACTTTTGTGGACAACAGAACCACAGGAGGACTTGTTAAAACACAGCCTGCTGCCCCACCCAGGAGTCACAGATTCAGCAGATCGAGGGACATGGGTGAGTGGACCGGACCCTGGAATTTATACAACATCACAGGTAATGATGATGCTGCAGGTCCAGGGACCAACCACGCTGATGAGAACCACTGATCGAGGACCCAGAGACTGATAATCACAGAAATTCAACAGAATTAGCTGGGAGAAGCCTATATATGATGAGATTCTGATTTAATAGGTTGATAGTGGAGATCCAGGCATGTTTATAAAAAGCTCACAAGAGATACTGATGAAAACTACAGGATGAGGCCGCTGATTCTATATTAGTTTGCCTTTCTTCCCTAAATACACACATACAAACACATTTTTGAAAGAATTTTAAATTTAAGCAAGCATGAGTATATACATCATGAGAAAATTAGAAAGAAAAATAGACTTATCCAGAGGCAGTCTGAAAGAATACAATTGCCACTCAATGAAAACATTTATGAAGCGTGTACAACCATGTTGTGGTGGAGACACCTTAAACTAACTTAATCTGCCTAGTACAGAATTCACCTGCATGTTAACTGCTCAAAGAGCCACTCTGACACTAGAGGAGGCTGACACTGTCTTACATTTCATTAAGTCCAACCAACAGAATTGCAGTTCACTGTGAGTTATGTATTTTAATTTTAAAATGTCATATTTATCTTCCAAACACAAACCAAGGATGATTATGCAAACTAAAGAAGGTCACTTGCTTTACACACAAAAAACAATCATCATAAACAGGGCTACATGAAGATCTTTACAGGCCCTAAGGATTGCCAAGATATAATATTCTCCTTTCCCCACCCTACCCCGTAAGAAACATTTTAAATATGTGTCTGTGTCTGTGTGCATGTGAGGGCGTGCACATGTGTGAATGCTAAATCAAAAATTCAGAGAAGTCCAATGAGGTTCTGATTTTTCCCCCTTGCTCACTAATATAACACTTGTTTTTAAAATATCAAAATTCTCCCCACTAGAAAAATGTCTTACTTCTTCTTGCTGATCCTCTAATCACATGCTTACCTGACCTACTGGGTAATGAAACACTATGCATGTAGTTTCTTTCAATGGTATGTTCCACAGTGATAAAAGTACAGACATCCTTTGTTTCATCATTGCCATTTTGCCAACAATTTGTGTTCACTTCATGTCTCTGCATCACATATTGGAAATTCTTGCAACATTTCAAACTTTTTCATTATTATTATACCTGTTACAGTGATCTGAGGTCAGTGATCTTTGATGCTACTATTGTAATTGCTTTGGGGTCACCACACACCGCGTCCATGTAAGATAACAAACTTAATAAATGTGTATGTCTAACTGCTCTACCAACCTGTCAATCCCCAACTCCCTCCTTCTCCTTGGGCCTCCCTATTCCCTGAGATACAATAATATTGAAATTAGGCCAATTAATAATCCTACAATGGCCTCTAAATGTTCAAATGAAAGGCAGAGTCACACATCTCTCTCTTTTTTTTTTTTTTTTTTTTTTTAGAAATGATTAAGCTTGGCCAGGTGCGGTGGCCCATACCTGTAATCCCAGGACTTTCAGAGACTGAGGTTGGTGGATCGCCTGAG